ACAGTTGAGACCACAGAAGAGACGATACCCACTGCTGTCTGCCAGGCAGTGAGAGGTGCAAATTGTCGAACTGTTGAACTTTATGGAGGGTGGTCTAGACACTCACAGAGATCTCCTCTCCAGAGGTCTCCAAAAAGGGTGCAGAGGTAGTGTATTCTGAGAAAAAAGCCAAGGGGAAGAGCAGACAGTCAAGGATTTGGAGGAGGAGATTACAGCCAAGTCAAGAGTAGATAATAGGTATCTGCTTATTGTGATGCATTTCCAGTGCAGTGCTCAGAGCTCCTGGGGTTTCAGCTCTGTCATTCGCAGAGTACTTTGCCATCTGCACAGCAAATGGTGTGAAAAGGTGTTTAATTCAAGGTGGCAATCATATAGAACAGTGAGTAAACGATGGACTAGGCAAGAGGGAATAGCTGGTTAAAATCATATATTTTTTACACTTCCAAAAAGTTTTAAGACAGTTGATTAATGTTAAATCCTCCTTGAAATTTTACTTGGTGCTGACCTCTATAAATCATTTGTAATCTCTCTCAAAAAAGCTTCATCGTTTGATAATACTAGTGTTGAGAGTTTTCCTTTGATTTTTATCCCTTTATAACCACTAAAATAAGAAAGTAAATTGAATTGTAACTCTCTTCATCCACGTTACCCTGTATACATCTAGTTTCTTTCTGTAAATGTATTTTGCCATTTAGTGTTGAAAGTTAAAGAGAAGTATTCAATTCTGTCCACAGGACAATAAATGAACACAGCATGTGTTTGTCTATACAGCACATTTAATCATTGGGGTATAATAAGCATCACTGAATATATCTTGCTGTATTTGCCACAGATTCCTAAATGATAGCATTCAGGATTAAACCTGACATTTGGAACGAAAAAAAAAAAAAAGGTATCTGCTGTTTAGGAATTAAAATCTGAAAATATTCTCCAGTCCCTTGTGTGAAATTAAGCTATATAACTGTACGTATTTATAGCCTGATGTTTAACATGCTTTATCTACTGCAATGAAAATTTTAATGACGCATTAATATGTCTATTTTTCTTCATATTTTTCACATTCTTTTTCATTATGTGTCCTCTGCATTATATCTTCACCTCTTCTGTATCATTCCACTATGTTAAACCAATTATTCTTAGGACTAACTAAACTTACTGCTACCAAGTGCATTATTTACACACCTAGCCTGACTTCTAATATCCTGATTCTTAGGAGCACTAATAAGCTTCATTGTGTTAATTAAAATTCCACTGTAGCTTTCTGATACAACCAAACAGAAATGTAACAACAACAAAAAGTAATTCCTGTAGAAATTCCATCATATAAAAATGTCCACTTACTATGAATTGGGAAAAGAATACATTTTTGAAACTTTCTCCAGAATCCAATTAGTAAAGATTTGAAAACCTCAAATGAAATAGTCTGGTTTTTTAAGTTTGCTACTGAAATTGTTATAGAAAGTGAAAAACTGAAATACTTTTTTAGACATTTTTTGGAAAAAAACCCACAAGCCCACTTCATTGACAGAAAGCTCCACATCTTATCACCTTTAAAAAATAGGCCTTTATTAAATGCCTAAACATGTGCTTAGGAACTTGAATTCAGACTCCTACTCTTTAAAATATTGATTTCCTAGTCACCAGCACCATTGAGCAGCTTCTTATAAGACTCAAATGCCTGATGTTCTGTTAGCCATGATTAATGCAGGACATACTGCATTTTGACTACAGTGCAGCGGGCCTCACTAATTTTTTCATTTTATGGGAAAAGATGTGATAAGATGAATTTTGACAATAAGTAAAAAATGTACATAGTCTTCAGTCGAATTTTTCCCTGTTTTCATATGGAGCCATAGGCTGGCTATGAAAGTACTATTATCAGGCCAAGTAGAGTATCACAGTGCAAAATTTCCCTTGGGAACACTACTTATGAATTCCTAAAGATTTCTCACTTCATACTTATTGTTGCCACCTATCCATGGTCTCAAACTCATACTTTGGTTCTCACATTACACATCGACTTGTGACTCCTCTGATGTACATCTCAAAATGTAGAGGGCCTGATATTGCTGTTCAAAACAGCACCACGTAAACCTTTCCATTCTATGCCACATACAGTGGGGTCTACCGTTCCAAGTGGCTCTTGCAGGATGTGGTGCCTACCTGAGACAAGGGTGGGCTTACCAATCACATACTTCCCTTGCATTTGTTTGGGGAAACAAAAAACAACAACAAAAAATCTTTACCTCTTTTTTGTTCAAGAAACACTCATTGCCCCAATGAAGCATTTGGTCCCTGGCAATAAATAGCTTAAAGTCTGAGACTTGTTCACCCAATGTTCTCTCTATATAAAAAATGCTTGAGGCACACTTCAGCATTGTACAGAATAACTTACATTTCGCCCAATGTATTTACTTGATCTTGTAGGGGCATTTGAATGTATGAGACCATTTTCTGCTTCTTGCTGAGATTGCCTTGTAAATCATACACTTTGTTTTGAGAGGTTTTATAGGCCATTTGTGGGTGGAAGTGACGAGTCAATAAATAGTGCAGCTACATATCTGACGTATGGAAAAGGCAAATTGACTGAAAGTCTTAGACTGATGTGAAGAGATACAAAGTACATGAATATACTGTTGGTAGGTCTTGAAAATAAACTAGATTATTAAAACTAGCAGTATTGGCAAACAAGAAAATGACAATTAATTTAGCCAATTGTGTGCACTCCTATTTCTGCTAGCAGTCAGCCCAAATGAAAAGATGAAGTGAACTGTGGAAAAATTCCAGACCACAGACTCAGCCTAACCATCTAGGTTCACAAATCCAAATTAGAAATCTGACTGTAGATGTTCTGAGCTCTACTCCTTTGATTTATTCATCCTAGAATCTGACTCTGGGCCTGAAATACTTCAACGACAAGAGCTTGTATTTTTAATCAGTAACTAGACGGTAAGTTGTGTAAGGTATGTATTTTATTTCTGCTTTTGCCTCCATTTTGGGAATAGCTACAGATAACTGAGGCTTCTTTTGCTTTTTTTTTCTTTGTTACCCACTTTAATTTATCTTAGATGGGTCCAATTTTGTAGCAGAAGTTAGTTTCAAATCTTTTACAAATCACACGCTCTTTAGGGAAACAGGTGCTAAGGACTGAGAATTCCTTGGTATTCTTGAAAGCATCTTGATCTGTGGAACACGTTTTTTTCAGCTATGAACTGGAACTGCTGTGTTTTCTAGTTGATTGGAACTATTTGTTCTCTCCAAACAAAACAAAACAAACCCAAAGATTTTTAATATGCTTTGACTTCTTTTCAAAGAATCCTATAAATCCACTTAATATAATGCTGTGAAGTTTCATTTTTTTGAAAATGTTGTTTATACTTTGTGAAAAAATATGTAGTTGCATATATAACATCTGATTTATCCTGTATGCCTACAGATATCAAGCAGAATAGGTCTATGTCTTGAAACAGGGTATCTGATATTTTTATGAAACATGTAGCCTGTCTTTTGAAGATAGTTTTGAATGAACATATCTTTGTTGAACAAAATGAAATAACCATTTTGGAATGCATTCAGGCATGAAAGATTATGTGGTAGTCTTACAATGTGACTTCAGAGCAAGATGCTTTACAATCTAAATCGAGCAGAACCAGAACAGACTACGTTAGAGGACTGCCTTATAGTTGTAGTTTTAGAATGAGGTGGTGAATAGCCTTCTGTACTGAGGCACAGTAAGATATGTTAATCGCAGCACTGCAACTGATGGCTTAGAGTCCAGGGTAGAAGACATCAGTGGCTTAGAAAGACAGGTCCTTGTCATAAAAATGGCAAGGGTGTCATATGCTCTTTTGCTTGAATAGGTCTTAGCTGGACTTATCATAGATTCATAGAATGGTTAAAGCTGGAAGGGAACTTGAAGATCAGTGAGTTCCAACTCCCCTGCCATAGGGAAGGACACCTCCCACTAGACCAGGTTGCTCAAAGACCCATCCAGCCTGGCCTTGAATGCTTCCATGGATAGCACATCTACAACTTCTCTGGGCAGCCTCACTACCCTCACAGTAAGCATACAGAAATATTTTCTGTGTTTGAACATTTATTCCCAATTGAGTGATGTTCCATATCATCCCCCCAATGCAGAACACCTGCAGAACTTGAGGTTCACCACCAATCATCTAATGCAGCAACAGCTGTTTGTGTAGGACTTTTTGTCCACTCACTTAGTGCAGTGTGTAGAATGAAAGAATCCTTTTAGTTTCTTTAGGAGTCTTTTGGTTTGGTTTGGTTTGGTTTTCTTTTGAGGGGGGTTGGTTGTTTAGATTTTGGCTATTTTAAATACCAACTGGATAGACTTGCATGTGCTGGACATTTTTTTTATTTTTCCCTTGTTGTTGTTTACTTTATCTAACATCCCCTTGATCAACTTTCAAAAGGAGTGTAACACCTGCTCTGTGCCTTCAGGATCTCAGAAATCGTAGTGGATATCTACTAGGCTCTTGAAAATAAGCAGCATTGAAGGGGCTCAGAGCTTAAGCAGGAATAGATGCACGCTCTGAGCTGTTTTTACAGCTCTCTGACACCAGTCACACTATGTAAATATCTGGGCCCGGTGATGAAAACAGAGCAATGTATCTATACTTTTGCATGATCGAGGCCTAACCTATGCTACACCTTAATACATCTTTTTCAAGCAGTCCACAATTATTTGCTTCAGCTTTATCTTTGCTTTTATGGTATGCAACTAGTCATCTAAGCTATATGACACTGCTGCTGTTCACTGACAGGATGACAACCTTTGTAAACAAGGCAAACAACGTCAAGGAGATTTCTAGATAGTTTTGTGAACACTTTCCCCCTGCAATCTTTTAAATAGCAGATATTGGCAGCATTTTATAGAGTTTTAATTCTGATATACAATTGCAAGAACTAACCAGGATAGCTCATAGAATTATTTACCAAAAACAAGTTTAGACTTGATTCAAACTTGATTTAGACAAGATTCAAATTAATATTATTATCTGTTATCTGAGCAAATAAATTCTTGATTTTAATAATAAACATTAGGTTTAACACAAAAGAGAAGTTCTAAAAAAAACCCTGAATGTACAAGTTCTGTTTTATCTGCATGTTACGACTAAAAATACATGGTTAAAAAGAGATAAATTTCTTAAATTTGGTCAGTTTTATCTCCAATATCTAATATCAGCATCATGTAAGTAAGCATTTTCCCAATAAGAGCACTAAATGACATTTTAGATAAGCTAGTGTAGAGCTAGTTAATTTGATATATCTACTGTTTTTTCAGTAAGGTGTTCAGTAAATTGAAAGTCTGCTTTCCCCCTCTTTAAAATATTGTATGTTTTTTGCACTGTATAGAAATGAGACTGTGTCTTGAAAGACAGACAACCTTTTAAAAGTCAGATAAATGTAAACTCATCATTCAACTTAGCAATTAGTAATACGTTTTACGTCTATTCAGAATTATTTTTCTCTGGCAAGGACTATTATTCTACTTTTTTTGTTGTTGTTGATTCTCCTTCACTTTTTGACATTTTTATATTTTTGGCTGAAATGTTCGTTATCATGCTTAATCCAATTTTTTAAGTCTGTAGGCTCCCCCATTCTCTTAACTAAAACTTGCCTAAAGTTTCTGTATGAAACTGAAATGAGATTTAAGGAGTAAGAGATTTGCATTTTGTTGTGTTGATGTTTATCTCTAGTAAAACAGACAATGAAGCTGTTGCATATTTCCAGACTACTAAAAGTAGAATTAACCCTTCTATTCAAAAGATGAAAAGTTGTTAAGTATAACTACAGGGAATAAAAAAAGTTCTGCAGTCAAGAGATGAAAATACTGTTGTGCAAAAGGAAGCGAGAGTCCCTTTGCTCTACTCTTGCCCCAAGAAAACACATTGTGCAGGTGTATATTTAGAACCAAGGACGGATGTCATATGGTAGGTCCCTCAGGCTGCCTGACAGCCAGCAAACTGCTAAAGAAGGGGTAACAGCTGCTTCCAGTAAAACTGCAATGAAGATGGAAGTGGATTAAACCCAAATTTGCTGCCCAGATCTCAAAGGAACAAATATGGAAAAAAGGCATCCTGTGCCTGAGGAAACTGCTTAATACCATCAAATGAGAGAGCTCCAATAATGTATCAAAGACCAAATACAAGACAGTTGAGAGACACTTGGAAGTTGGAACTGCACAAACTTCTCACACTTGACGCAGTAGGCCATCCTGAAAGGTGTTATACCAGAGAGACAGCTGCCTGGAAATGTGGGTACATCAACAAAAATATCAACATACCGTAAGTAGAACATTGCAATAAGCACTTAAAATCACACAATACTAACATCAGTCTGCTGTGCAAACTAACTAGCTACATTTAATTTTATGTTTAGAACATATGAAGATATATAAGGAAAGAGGGTCTCTTTAAAGGCATAAAGATTACCCATGACTGGGTTGAGTGAAATCCTGTTCTTCTTTATACCAATTTAAAGATAACACAGCAGAGACTGTATTTCAGTGTTCTTTGCCAGAGTAACCCAGCAAGGATCACATTAGCACCACTCACCAATCATGCTATTGTACTGTTTTGGTTTTACTGTTAATACAGAACTTTGTGCTGGAGACAAAGTTCTAAGAAGCTGGAAGAAATGCAAAGATATGATTCCCACCCTCCTTTTTTTTCTAGCTTTTCTAGCAAAAGAGGGTTTGCCAGCTTATAGCATATTTTGCAAGGAGGTAGCAAAACTACTGAGGGAGAAATTCCCTCTTCTAGTGTACACACTGTGTTCTGAGGCACTGCTGGCACAGTTATGCCAATATAACTCTAGAGAAAAAGGTGGCAGCTTCTCACGTTAGTCTGTATTTATAGCTCTGGGTTAGAGGGAGATTGAAAAGGCCATTAACACTTGTATGTGAAATGCACTGTTCTCTGTAATTTCCACTTCTAAAATGATGAACTGCGAGGACTCAGTTTGGTGGAGCTCATGAATGCAACTTCATGTAAGACTTTCCACTCTGATTTTGTATTTCTAGTTAGTAAAACACAGGCAAGTTAAAACTCAAACAATATGTATTTCTTGTAACATTTGCATTTGGGCTAAGGGTGAGGATTGTCATCTACTTACTTAAGCCATTTTCTGACCTTGAGTAAACAGGATCACAAATTGCCATTAGTGGCCATCAGATATAAGAGTTGCTTTAAGATGTATCTTTCAAAACAATGAGCTTTTTCTTCCAAACTGTAATCTTCCTCATGCAGGAGAAAGAAAAAGTGAAAGGGTTTTAATGTAGCAGGGCTTTACTTGGTGTTAGAGTTAGGTAGATAGCCTTGACAGTAGCCTGCAAGTTGTGGAAACATGTTGAAGAATTTGTAAAAGGAGCAAACTAATATTGTAAGGTTGAAATTGTGTCGGAACTTTAAAATGAAGCTAAAGTTTATAGAGATTGAGACAAACATGTTATAGTTAGTTTTCTTTTCTTCCTGAGACAAGAGCAAAAATCTGAAAATAAGGTGTTGGAAAACTCTGATCTTATATTTTTAATCTACTCTAAACCAAGAAATACTGAAATTACAGTAACATTAAAAAATCTGTTTTAAAAAATGCATAGCCAAATTAAAGAGTCTCAGATAAACTTTGAAAAAGAATGCAAAGCTTTAGATGCTGCTTCAGACTACCAGTGCAAAAATTTTTTATAATGAAAATCAATGCGACTTTGAATTTTCTCAGGATTTATGTGAATTCAGGGATTGAGGTCCGGCACTACATGACTTCTTTTCTGTATTATTTGGGTCCTTACAGCTTTTCCAGTTTTTCAGAAGAGTGATCCATTTTGCAGTGTTTAGAGATTTACTATGCAGACGTGAAAATACCAAAAAAAAATTATAAGGAGGGTCTAGATTTAGGAAGTGGGAGACTCAGACTTGGTGATTTCCTCATAAGTACTCTAACCACCTGGTGAGTGATTATTATAGGCCAGGCTTGTTCAGCCATTCTGCTACCTGTTTAAAACAATCAAGTATTCACCATTGTTTATTTATTTTGTTTTTTTCCATTCCAGGTGACTTTTGCAGTAATTGACATATAAAGTCAGATACTCTGATTTTTTAGCTATATGGACGGAGAAAGAAACAGACTCTAAAGCCAAGTAGTTCTATCCTAGTCCCAAAGACCATTCATGATTTTGATATATGTCCCTGAAGTATCTTCATGGAGAATTTTGACGATTATGGAGCCGGTGTCTTCTCATGAGGGAAAAAAAGTCTTTTCAAAAATTAAACTCCAAACAGAGCTGTACTTGGACCTTCTCAATTCTGACCTAGTTGTCCCCAGTCCTGCATCTCTAACTTGCACTAAAATTTGCTAGTGCTTTTTATGCTCTGGACCAGATATGAATCAGATTTCTTTTTACTTTTCTCAAAAGTCCCATAGGATTATTCATACAGGATTGATCTTGTCTTTTCAGTTTACTCACTCTTTACAGAAGGAAAGAATAAAATAAAACCTCTGTTCATGCACATTCCTGCTGCATAATATCTTCTTGAAAAGGGCAAATTGTACATTTAGACCACTCATGATTTTACAAGATCAAGGCTAAGTTGATTTTTTGAGTCATGCTGATTAGACTATATTGTGCTAAACTGTTTTGTCTAACTGTGTAATCAAATACAGTATAAGCTGTCTGTTGCCAGCAGCTTACAGGTACCAAAAACCAAAAAAAAAACTAACCCAGTAACTAATAAAATATGCAAGTACAAATTCAGGAGCAATAATTTTAAAATACAAAAGCTTTACAAGTATTTCAGCACAAATCTCATCAAATACACATTCAAATTCAGGGCTTTAAAGATAAAATCACACAGTAACTTTTAAAACAGCAGCCTATATCATAGTTAAGAACAGTTGAGAAGTTTTTGCAAAACCTGGCAATTTATGCAATATGTTTACAGCCAGATATGTAAAGGGTAACTTTCTCCAGTGGCTATGATAGTTAACATTACAGAAAGCAGGCTGATGCACTTTATTCTGGTACGTCAAGCCTCTTTCATAAAGGAGGGTTTGTTGGGTTTTTTTGTATGTAGGAGAACAAACACTTTGGTATGCAAAGTTCAGCTCTAAAGCTCATACCCTCATAGATTTTACATACTGCAAGAATAGTGCAATGAACTAGTCTGACCTTCTGACACCATGTAGCCTCAGGAGCTGTATCTTCTAATTCCTGCACAAATAACCTGTGGTATTAGAACATACGCTTGAGAGAGACACCCGTCCTTGATTTTAAAGTTCAGGTAGTATTTGCTATTTATTTATTAATTGTTCTTTATCACTGTATTACTGTAGTGCTCAAATAATCTTCAGCAACAGCTATGAACCTGGACTCTCTAATACTTGTCCCTATATTTCTTTCCCAAAAAAGCCATCCAGGCCAACTATCCTGCCTGAGAAGAAGACAATCTTCAAAAGCAAAATCTTCCTCTTTCAGATGGAACTTTTTTATGTATGGTGATGATTTCTAGCTACATAGTATGAAACCTAGGCCCCTCAGAAATTAACACACGTGCTGCCATTGGCTTGATAGCAAAGGGTTGTGTTACTGAAAAAAAATAGAAGTTTATGAGGGCATGGTCTTTCTCTTGCATCACTGACGGAGTTCTACCTCCTTCAAGATCATTAGTAAGCTAAGATTTGGAAAAACAGGCAGCACAGGGGCTGGTGCAGGGGGTCGGTGTCGAGTCCGGGCCAGCCCCTCTCTGCCGCTCCCGCCTCCTCACCCTTCTCCCTGCTCCAGCCCGGGCCCTTCCCCGGGGCTGCCAGGAAACCCCTGCCCCAGCGGGGTCTCTCCCGGGGCCGCCTGGAGCCCCTCCTCCCCTCCTCCTGCTCTCCCCTCGGGGCTGGCAGGGCTGTTTCTCACCCGGTTTCCCTCAGCCCTGGCTGCCGGGCAGCGTTTTGCCCTTTCTGAGCCAGGCTTTCCCCGCGGCGCCCGCCCGTGGCTGAGGGGCTCAGCTGTGCCCTGCGGTGGGGCCGTTGGAGCCGGCTGGAACCGGCTGTGTCCGGCACGGGGCAGCCCCGGGCCCGCACCGCAGCTCCCCGCCTTGCCGCATAAAGAGCACACCATGGATTTCAGTGCTTTTGGTTATCTTTCCTCCTGGAGACAGTAAAATATTGTTCCAGCTGTAGCTGTAGCTTTGCTGATGCATTCTCCTCTCGATATGGGGGTTTAATGTGGCCGGGGTTTTATGTAGCCAGGGTTTCAAAAACCAAACAAGCATTTCCCTAAGTTTAGGAGCTTAGCAAACAAAAGAAAAAGAAAAAAACCCACATTTACTGTTTCTGATAAGTATTATTCATCAGAGTCCTCTTTAAGTTGAATGGTGTCGATAAAATGGTGGCTTTTTCTTTGTTCCTTAGCTTTTAACCTTTACCTTCCACTGCTGGTCACGCTCGGTTCTGTCTCAGAGCCTCTGCACTCCAAGCATTGATGCTGTTTTAATCAAACAGGTTGGAGCTGGAAGTGAATTACTGGTTTTGCTATTAACTTTGTTGATGACTAAGACTTCACTGTCAAACCTTGTCAGTATTTAGAAGATACTTCCTAGTCAGGGAGAAGAGCAAGTCCAATATTCATTCGTGGGGAGCTGATTTTTTCTGAGCAGAAAATGCAGTCATAATCTCCTTTTCTCTCCAGGACACAGGCATCACATTGAATGAAGAGGACCTGAATCCTGCCTTTGGTTCAAACACTGACACTGTTTTGAGAAGATTCTGTACTTCTGTTTTCTCTCCTTTGCCATATCCATTTCTTTGGTGAATTTTTCTTACTCTGTATTTGAATACCCCACAGAGAGTTCTAGTTGACTTCTAGCTGTAATAATAAATAGAAAGAATAAACAAAATGTTTATACAAACTTACCCTTTCAGATATCTAGTCTAGTGTTTTATATTGGATACTAATTCAGAATGCAGCTTCATGAGAGGTCAAGCAAGCCTAAATGTCAGTGCACCCTTTGCTCTGGCACATTTGCTTATCTTGGCTCTCTGACGTGTCAATTCACTTGCAATGCCAGCAGAAGACTAACCTTAAAAAAAAAAAAAAAGAAAAAAAAGAAAAAGAATAATTTCCTGCAAGCTCAGTCAGTTGAATTGATTCATTGGAAGGCCAATTGAATGCTGGAGCTGCTGCAAAGGGAAAGAGATAGAAGTGGGGAACTGTTGTAGCTCATTTTAAATCACTTTATGCTGCTCTAGAATTATTTCTGATTCACCAAGAAAAGTAAACAATTTAGAATGCTTCATAGAAAATTAGTGTCGGCCATGTTAATATATCTTCTGTAATTTTTTAAAAATTATAATTATTTGTTAAGTGATGTTTCCTGGAATGAGGTGGTTGAGTATTTACTAGTTTTTTTAACATCAGCAATCTAGAAAAATATAATGCTTGTATGTTTCTCCCTCACCTCTGGTTTCTGATCACAAATAGAGTTGGCTGAAACTTTTTTTCCTTCTATCTTGTAAAGAAAGAAAAAAACCAGAAAATTATTTCTTCTTATCACTTACTTTTGGTGAGTTTTACTTTGGTGTTCTATGAAAACAATAGCAGCAAAAAAACTAAGAAAAAGGTGGATTCACTATTTAGCAGGGTAGTGAACCTAGTGACACAGGACATAGAAAAGGCCAAGGTACTCTATGCCTCCTTGCAGAAAAGAAGGCTACAGCATCCTCGGCTGCATTTGCAAGAGTGTGGCAAGCAGGCCAAAGGGTAAGTTATCCTTCCTCTCTACTTAGCATTTGTGCATTTGCATCTGGAGTATCACAACCCTGCTTTCAGCAGGGGTTTGGAGTAGATGACCTCAGGGGAGTCTTCTCCGAGCTTAAGCATTCTGTGATGCTAAAAACATAATTTCATACACATAATACCTAATTATCAAGACTAATGATAATAATGATAATTGATTACCTTTCTATATAGCTTTTTGAGATACCACAAACCTCTTGGTAATCTAGTAACTTTGTGAGAATGTATTGTTTTACACATCCCATAAAACATGATTATGTATAAAAAGTTACATATCAAAAGTGTGAAGTGTAATTATTAGTATTTTTCTTTAAATTAAAATGTCTCAGTGAAAGTTCTGATAGTTCCCACAATAAGAGTCTGTGGCATAAAGATATAGTACTGAAAGGAACCTGCTCTTCGCTGAAAAGAACTGTGTAGTATACAGCACACATAAAAATGAAAAAAAACTAATTTTTGTTAAAGAAAACTGAATCTACAGAGAATTACTAAAAAGTGGAGTCACAGCATAATGACATAAAAACTTCCATGCTGACTTTTCTGAGACAAGATGTATGTTACAATTGTGCTACATTAATAAAAGATTAGCTAAATATGCCAATTATCTCTTCAGTGTAAAATTTCCCCCTCATTCAGTATCACTAGGAAGTTGGGAACTATTTTAACATTTTATTCCATTTTAATCATCTTTACACAAGGACAAAATTTACATTAAAAAAACCTGAGTTTGGTTAAAAATAGCACCTTTCTCTTTTTAATTTCCACTATATTATTTTTGCTTCAGATGTTATCAGAATAATTGCTAAAAGTTCTGGCCAAATTCTGTCATGAGCAATTCCATTGTTTTCACTGAAACTGCTTGTAAGGGGCTTGATCCAATGTCTACAGAAATAGAAAGAGATATTTTTCTTCTGATTTTATTAAGGGCTGGAATAATTTCATAATTCTGTGTTTGTGTTCATATATAGAGAGTATTCAGTGAAAATAGAGTGGATTGGGTTTTTTTTCATCAAGAGAGTTGATGGATATTCCAATATTCATCAATATTCCAAATGGAAACGGTCAGTTGGGTTTTTTTTAATTTATTTATTTTAATGCTTTTACTTTTATGCAGTTAGCAATGACATCGGGAACAGTTCATATACTCAGCCTGATCTAATCTAGTTGGTATAAACTATTGATTTTAGTGAGGGAGGACAGTAACAATCCCTCTCTGATGAGAGTTGTCTTGATTTGAGGGCATATTTCTGCATCAAATCCCAGGGCAAGACTGTCAAATGCTTCTACAAAAGCTTAAAAACTGCAACAATCAGAGCTCCTTGGAAGTTATTAAGTGAGAAGAAAAAAAAAGCAAAGAGATTCTATTAAACATAATAATGCACTTCTGTGTGCTTTTTTATTCGAAATGTGCTTCTGTCTTGTTAAATTAGCAGAGGTTATCCCTGTTGTAGCCATGTCTATCTGCTTTATAAATATACATTTGACATTTAAAAATGTGACTGTTTAAATTTCGATTATTTGTTGCTGAGCTCTTCATTGTCATTTTGAAGCTAGAGAATACCATTACAATTGTTGGAATCCTCAAAAATATAATAACTTTATTTTCAATATAACTGAAAGCCAAGGCTTTCAATGCATTGGGGGCAGCCGTTTCCTATTAATTTCTGCTTATCCACATTATGTGAATTGCATATACAGAACTGTACATAAGGGATTTCAATACCCTGTTTCAATTAATTTCTAATGATAATTGGGAATCAAAACCCTTTGTACAGCTTTGATAACCCAACGGAAATATTTTAAGGACTTCTGTAAGTGTTTAGGGAAGAACTCTATGTCAAGCATTTAAGTTGACATTAAGACAACTACTTATGCTTTTTATACTTTTAACCACCTTTTTCATCATTTGCATCGCATTTGGGGTTTAATTCAGAATCTCTGGATTAAGTAGGAATCTTTCACAAGCTTCAGTGTAAGTTAGCGGTCAGCTGGGAGTGGGAATTTTGTGTCTTAATGGATGAGATCTACACACTTCCTATCCCCTGGTCTGAGCCACACTCCATTTTGAGGAAACAGGATAAAAGTGAAAGAGGGACAGCCCAGTACCGTCCATCTTTTCTTCTTCTCTGCCAGCCCCAGCTCAACAAACAGCATTTCTTGTATTCCCAAAGTTAAGTTGCATGCAACATTAACAGAAGAAGAAAGAAACTTAGAGTAAGAAGCTGTTAATTTAAGGTCAGAAAAAATAAGTATTGTTGCAGTAAAAGGATGTAGGGAGGTTGTTCCTAATGGTAGTTCTATAGCAAAAAGGATCTAATAATGATATGGCTGCAGGCAGGGCCAGTGACAAGAGGACTGAGCGAGCTGTTAAAGGAACGATTTGAAAATATGTCTCTAAACTATCTGGCATGTTTTTCCTGATTTTAGAAAAAAGGTTATTTTCTAATTATAGATACTTAATCTTAACATTCTTTGGAAAATGTTGTATTCAACTGATGACCTAGAAGGAAATAACTTTGAGTTCCCATGCAGAAAAGATGAAATTATCTTCCCCTATTTATTAAAAATGTTTTCTTTCTGTTCCATAAATAATGCTGAAACAAAGTTACTATTAGAATTGATATGCTAGCGCCTTTGCTCTCTTTTATTTCCTTATTTAAACTGATGCTCTGAGGTGCTGTGCATGAATAGCCCTGAAATAAAAAAGGAATGATGCACTAAAGAGAAAAAAGTCTTAAAGGACATTATGCTGTGGTGCCATGTTATTAGTATGCTTAGATATTTTAAATTGCATACTATATGTTTGATTGGGATATTCATATAAAACCAGATTCCTGGCTTAGCCAGCTATTTCCAAAAAGTTCCTAAGGTAGAATTTAATTTTCCAGATAAATTCCTGCTCACCGTGATTTTTACTGTCCAAACAGACGCACAAATAAGCACGCAAACAGACACATGAGCCTTTCTGTAATGGGAGGAGTTTCTTCATATCTGAGAAACAGCTGGAAATCTTCTGTAGGACTAAGGTAGGATTATAGTTCCATTTTAATGTTTATACTCACAGATAAAAGCTATCGCCCATGCAGCAGGGGAGATAAGATGGCTGACAGCACTAAGCTGCCTTCACTAAGCAATGCTGATGGCTGCCTTTTTGGCAGCCTGGGGCAGTATGCATGATTAAAGAGAGAAACTTAAGCTAAACCAGCCACTTTAAAAACAAATACACTTTGGAATAATGTTAACTCTACTTAGCACCTAGGATTTCACTGTATATATCTTAATAGTCTTAAGCAGCTCCCTTTGTAAGCAATTCATCCAGGAGTTAATGTGTCAAGTTTAATATGCATCAAGAAACGCTCATTTGTAACTAAAAGGTTCATAATGCAGAGGAGCTTTTCATCTTGGACATGTAATCACCAGCCTTCAAGCAGAACACACCAGAATATACATCCTGTGCTTAAGCTCTAGGACTGCCACAAGAAAAGGCTGGCATGAATTTTCTTGCTTTTATTTGCCTGCTCAGCTTCCTGGATTCCAAAGAAATCTGGATATACTGGACAGATGCTGAAAATGTGCAGTAAATAAAAACCTATTCTCACCAGATATTGTATATGTAAAATTTAAAATGCATCTTCACAGGCTTAGTAGACAGAAAACAGCTGGTGAGCCAGGAATGCTTTTCCTTTTTTCTGTCTTTGCCAGTAGTGAGCCTGGTCCCACACTGAACCTATTGGGAATGTTTGCCTATTTAAGGTCACCGAAAGATGAAGAACTGATTAGGGGTAATCAGGCATACTTGGACTTTCAAGTGAATGAATTTTCATTAGCTGAAGGTGTAACCTTCTCCATGCAAAAAGGAAATACAGTACACATGTCCAGGTCAGTGCTTAAGTGTTAAATATAATATTTTAAGAAAGATTACATAGACGTATCACCTTAATACAGCACCCATTGTTAAGCCACATGCATACCATAAAAACCCCATGTCCTTTTATGGACTGTGTGAATAGAAAATGAAATACTATGTCCTTTCTTTCTACTGGTTTAGACTTCAGAGTAGGAGAGTTAATATCAACATTTAATTTAAATACATAATTAGAAATAGAGCTATTAGTAAATATCAGGTATTTGTCACCTTTGCAACAGCCAGACAAATTTTATATAGCCCTTCTTATTAGTAAACACCGAAGCCCAGTTTGTGGATGAGAATGCAGTGAAGAAATGATCTACCCAAGCCATCTTACAGAATTAACTTATGTTAGACCTTATGTCAGCTTAATTGCAGACCAGTGAACTGCTTCTCCTTGCAATACCTTGATATATTCTCATCTAACTTTCTAGATGGAGTTTAGCTGATAATGTAGTCTACGCTTTAAAAAACTGCAAGACTTTAAAGGGAAGTTTTAGTAGGCACACTGTCTGCAACCAACTGGGTGAGGAAGGCTGAAGAGCAAAATTCACAAAGTCCTAGAAGTAGAAATATTCATGTCTCCTTCATTTATCTTCAAACTGCTTTGAGAATTGCTTTAATTTAATGTTTGTTCAAATATGAGATAGCCTTGACAGTTATTACAAAAGAAGAGAAACTCTGCATTTTACCTTTTTATCTTTAATTACATTAAAGAATAATGATGTACTGTCTTTGGTAGCTGGTCTTCTCAAGAACATCTATTCCGACCTTTCTTTCTTCTAGAGAGATCCATGATTTTTCAGTTCCATCTGGTTATCTAAATTTAAATGTTGTCATAAGAACACTATGTGAAGTTTTTATATCTGATGTTCACAGTCATAAAGCCCAGTCTCTGCAGAAGCAGCTTATTGTCTTTCTGCATACAAATTTTATCATAAGTTGAATAACAGATCCCCTTAATGATATTCCAAACAAATGCTATTGGTTAACAGACTCTCTCCTAACACTTTCTTTATAGAATTGGACTGTCTTTTTTTTTTTTTTTTTTTTCCCCAAGAATGTGTATATTCATCAAAGACAATGTTTTTTAAAGGAATACACTGATGCAAATAAAGAATCAATTGGTCAAGGTGTAGATATTTGGCTTAGAAAGCAAAATAGCAGTTTGGGTCAGTTTGGAGCAGTTTGGATCTTCAGAAATAGAGGTCTAAATCCTTAATCTGATTTGTTCACTTAAAGTGGAACAGCCACAATAACAGACCCTAAGACCCTCAGGCAGTTTTTGATGACTTAGAACACTCTCCTTGCTTGGGGGAAAGTGGTAAAAGGGGGCTTTGAATAGTAATGCTTTTGCAGTAATCAGTTGTGTAGTGTTCCCTGTAATCTTTTGTGAAATATTTGTAATGCTTTTAGTTGTAGAATTGTGCTTTTTAGAATGTTGTGGGTGATAGGAAAACAGATCTTTGTTTAGCTCTAATTCTATAGAATTACCTAAATAAGAAAATATAAACTTTTAAGTTCTTGAGAAAACCTGTGTGTTTTTAATTGGTATTAAAACAACACCCAAGTAAATACACATAGCAATAAAGAGGTTCTGTTCCAGGGAATGCAGAATCTAACAGAACAATGATGTTCCATTAACATAAAGTATTAGAATCAATCTACATATTATAATCAAGAAAAAAAAATATAGACTTTACGTGCCCTTTCTAACTTCATGCATTAAATCTGTAACACAGCTAGGGACTATTTCTAGAATCTTAGTACATTATTTTACCATTCTTGTGACAGAAATTACTCAGAGGTTCTGTGTTTGTTATAGAATTATGCCAGAGAGCTGAGAAAAAGAATAGAAATTATCTGTCAGAAAGCCTTAATATGTAGTTATGGCTGTACTACTAGCCATAACTAGTTAATAACTAGTAGTTAATGCAGTACTACTATTGACTGTGGTAAGGCTAGAATTTCATGCAAAATTTTAAACGCATCATTTCCATAGAAAGCTTGGAAAATGGTAAGATTGATCAAGTATGCAAGTTATTCTAAATATGCAAACTAAGGACTTGATCTTGCAGCTTCCAGACATATTGAGGTACTATTTGTCTTTACCTACAAGAATCCCTTTCAAAATTTCTGGTAACTGAAAATACCTATCAAATTTATTTTCAGAGACATATATAGGATACTTTGTATATCTGGACACCCTGGAAAGTAGGGGTTGTCTCAGTCTGCAAAGGCTCTTGAGTCCTCCCACCAAGAAGCTAGGATCCTGAAAACTCTAATTCTAGGAATGACTATCATGAAAAAAAAAGGTGACAGACAATCCCTTATCAGGACAACATATTAGTATGCAATTGTGGGACCAAATAAGATATGGTCACCTCTGTTCTGAAGTTAATAGCTGCAGTAGCCAAAGCTGTACACGAGTGTGGGAATAAAAGCAACTGGATGTGAATAAATTAGGCATCAGTAGTATCTGAAAAGAGAATGGAGCTGATAGGAAAATTTAAAAAGAAATATTGAAATAGGATAGGTCAGTGATTCTTCAATTTTGGGGACAAAACAATTAAACACTGTTTTCAGAAAACTAAACCAAGTCAATAGCATTTTTCTCTTTTTTTTTTCTAGACCACAGACTGCTGACAGAAAGGGTCAGCTGAAGAAAAAAGAGGGGCAAAAGAGGTAATTTCTTCTGCTAAAAAATACAGTACCAAAATACAATTTATTCTCAATATATGATAACCTAGGCAGTGTACCTTAAGTTAAGGGTAAGCTAGACATAGATATGTGGGTGTGCTTAAGCACTGTTTTTCTCGTTGGCTACCTCCAGACAGGCACTCTGGAGCTGACAGGTCCCTGTTCAGGCCCTCATGTGCTAGGAGTTGTGTAATATGGGTCTTAGTTCAGTTAAGACACAAATAATGCTGGGGATCCTCTCGGAGGGAATGGGATAACTGAATTCTCCAAAACACTGTGGGGATCCATTATATATTTCACTGAATTTCACTGAATTTCTAGAGTTGGAAGGGACCATAGAGATCATCTAGTCCAACTCCCCTGCTGAAGCAGGATTGCCTAGAGCTAGAGCATGTTACTCAGGACTGCATCCAGGCGGGTTTTGAAAATCTCCAAAGAAGGGGACTCCACAACCTCCCTGGGCAGCCTGTTCCAGGGTTCCGTCACCCTCACCGTGAAGAAGTTTCTCCTCATATTTGAGTGGAACCTCTTATGTTCCAACTTGTGCCCGTTGCCCCTCGTCCTCTCGGTGGGAACCACTGAAAAGAGTCTGGCTCCCTCCTCCTTCAACCCTCCCTTGAGATACTTGTAGGCGTTGATAAGGTCTCCCCTCAGCCTTCTCTTCTCCAGACTAAAGAGTCCCAGCTCTCTCAGTCTCTCCTCATAAGGGAGATGCTCCAATCCTTGAATCATCTTTGTAGCCCTACGCTGGACTCTTTCTAGTAGTTCCCTGTCCCTCTTGAACTGGGGAGCCCAGAACTGGACACAGTACTCCAGTTGTGGCCTCACCAGTGCAGAGTAGAGGGGGAGAATGACTTCCCTTGACCTGCTGGCTACACTCTTCCCTATACAACCCAAGATACCATTGGCCTTCCTGGCCGCAAGAGCACACTGTTTACTCATTGTCATTTTACTGTCCACCAGGACCCCTAGATCTTTCTCTTCAGTAGTTGCCTCTAGCGGGTCCACCCCTAACCTATACTGGTACCTGACATTTTTCTTCCCCAGGTGCAGGACCCTACACTTTTCCCTGTTGAACCTCATGAGGTTCTTCTTTGCCCAGCCCTCCAGCCTGTCCAAGTCTCGCTGGATGGCAGCACAGCCCTCCGGGGTGTCAGCCACTCCTCCCAGTTTGGTATCATCAGCAAACTTGCTGAGGATACACTCTGTCCCCTCGTCCAGGTCACTGATGAATATATTAAACAGCACGGGTCCAAGTATTGACCCCTGGGGGACTCCACTGGTTACAGGCTTCCAACTTGAACCTGCTCCATTAATAATTACCCTTTGGGTCCTGTCACACAGCCAGTTCTCAATCCACCTCACTGTCCCCTCATCCAGCCCATACTGCCTCAGTTTCCCAATGAGGATGTTATGGGAGACAGTGTCAAAAGCCTTGCTGAAGTCAAGGTAGATGACATCTGCTGCCCTCCCCTCATCCAACCAACCGGTTATGGCATCATAGAAGGCTATCAGATTGGTCATACATGATTTACCCTTGGTAAACCCGTGTTGCCCACTTCCAATAACCCCCCACTCTTCAACTTGTTTGGAGATGACATCTAGTATGAGTCTCTCCATCACCTTCCCAGGGACAGAGGTGAGACTAACTGGTCTGTAGTAAAGATACACAACAACAGTTTTCCTTAATGACCACTATGGGAAGACAATTTAAGAATAATGAATTGATAAGAACTAACTGATTGACTAGCCTGAACCAGCTATGACCTTGTCTACTCGGCTTTAAAAAGCACTGTTTATATGCTAATTCCAAGCTGCATAATATATTAATTTAAATAGAGATGGGAGACGTCTAGGTTTCATTACCTCCTTTTCATTTTATTGTCTTTCTTGCTTCTCTTGAACAGCTGTAAAGGCAATGACAAAAAGTGAAGTACCAAGATGTCCCTTTATCTCACTGGTCAGTAAACTTGATATTTGAACAGTGCAAAGGATGCAAAATTTTGGTGTTTGTATAGACAAGAATCAAGAGCAGACCAATACAAAGCAACTGAAAACAGTTCATCAGAAACAGAATATATTTGTGACAACCAATATCCCACCTTTTTTGGAGACAGAAATGTACGTGGCCAGCAGAAAGGTGAGGCTCAATGAGGCCCTGGACAACCTGGTCTAGTTGGGGGTGTCCCTGCTGACTGCGGGGAGGTCGGACTAGATGACCTTTGGAGGTCCCTTCCGGCCTGGGCAATTCTATGATTCTATGATTCTATGATTTCATATCATCTTTGTAATGCCTAACTTTATGGAGCTCTTTGCTTATTTAATCCCTTGACATTGACTTGAGCCCAAAGATCAGTTAATTTTTGAGAAAATGTACCAAAATGTACCTTTTGAAGAAAGAAAATTTTAAAACTGTAAATATTGCTGGTTTTTTTCACAGTAAAAAAATGATGAAGAAAACCTAAGTGAAAAGTTTCATTTCTGTCAAAATAATGATTTCTTGACCAGTTTTAGGAGTGATTAGGAAAATCACGTCATTATCTTTCTAAGTGTAGAATTGAAATGCAAATGCAATAAAATGGTTTGTTTAACTACAACCTTTTAAAAAAACATTAAGAGAGAAGAGATGTCAGGAAAGATAGGCATGTTCATTCAATTTTGTCTGAAGAGGCTTGTGTTTTTTTCCATAAAGGCCTTATATAAAACTTCACAATGTGTTATTAGCCTCACTAGCTCTCTGCTGCATATCTTTTTTTGCCCTCTCTTATACTACAAAGTTGCACATTTTCTACAAAAGAAGTGAGATTTCATAATGCCGACTACAGCAAAACAGAAATTGAGAAAAGAAAAGGCAGTAGTCACTTGAGGCCAATAAATTATGACCATAACTATAGCCAGTATCATTTAAGTACTGTTTCGTTTCTGATGATAAAGCAGTAGCTTATCATACTGCTGACAACTGCCAGCCCCTATGGCCCCAGCTTATACCTTGTCCATTTGTTACCCAGCCATCTACAGTGAATTTAATATAGTGGAGTAAACAGTCACGCTCGTCAGAAGCAGAAATGGACTATGGACTCAAACTTAAACCAACACAAAAGAATGCTAACCAGACAGAGCAAAGTGATGAGAAAAACTCACGTGAAATCTTCTGCTTTCATGTAGCTATGAAACATGTCCATAGCTGACCTCAGTGGAGAGAAGAACTAACGTCATTTAGGCGTGAAGACTAACCAAGAGGGGAGCACACATGTAGTGAACATCACTGGTAAAATTTTAAATGTTGCTACTTTTGGTACCTGAGTTCACAAAGATGGTAGTAACACCAACTTAAATATATAATTGAGCTTTATGAAAGTTTCACTCCATGGGAGTATGTAACTTGCATTACTTTTCTATTATGGCAGACTTCCCTAGTGGAGGGATATTTTAACAGTACATTTTAAATCATGCAATCATGTAATACAATGCATCATACAATGAAATCAGACAATTCAGTGTGATCTCTAGCATAATTAAAATTATAAAATATCACACTATTTTCCTCATGCAACCCGTAGCTTCTGCTTGAATTACTGCGAAATAGTCTGCTGAGCTGTCCCCAAGCCATATCAGTTTTATAATGGAAGCACATGCAGAAGGTTCACTAGGTCCAAATTTGTCTGTAGGTAGCTATGTGGTTAGTTATTTAAAAAGTTCTTCCTGTATTTGTACCCCTGTATTTTAACTGTATTTGTTAAATGTGAAAGGTTAGCACAGTGTAAGTGGGAGGTTCAAGTGTTTGTCTTGATGAACTATTCTCAAGTCCCTGAGTGATTTTCTGGTAAGATAAAACACCCTCAAATGGTTGATGTCACAGTCACGTGAATTAGTGTAATACGAGCTGGATGACCTAAATTCAGACCTCTACTGCCCATACCAACTGATGGGGTCAGCTGATGTGTGCCATGGACATGAGAAGGAAGCAAAGAGAAAAGCTTTCTTATCCACGTTTCTCTCAAATTTCAGGAAGGTTAAAAAAAACCCACCCAAATGCTAACAGCTCTGAATCCTTTTTTTTTCTAACCGTCACTACATTAGAATAAAACATGTTAACAGTATGAATTAGTATGTAAATGTATGTGTGAGTTTATATTTATGTATATATTAGTAACTATAACAGTAACTACTCCACCTGCAAATTTTCTGGAGTAATGACTGTGCCGTGGCCTGCTGTTTGAGCCATAAATTAACACCAAGCAACAGCTGATAAAGAATTTTCTTTCTAAGGCTCTTGTAAAGGGTCATCAAGATACTGCCTTTGAGATGGCTTTCAGACTCATTCTTTGTACTAAGCATACTCAGTGATTTGTGTCTGCTGCTGTATCAGCACACTGGCCAGAGAGATCCAGAACGGATGTGGCTTTTTATTTATTAAGGTCTACTTGTGGCAAAAAGCCTTCAAAATTTCAACTTTATTTACAGTAATTACTTCTGTATTCTGTTACAAAAAGTGAGGGTTTCATCACATTTAAGACTTCAGAAGCATGTAAGAAGACATGATGTGAAATATATATGCAAAAACCAACCAATCATACTCCAGAGAGGATGTCTGATGTAATAATAGGTGCTCTTTAGTGTGAAAGCTTAAAAGCCTAAGAACACTGCGTTCTCTGCAGTGTTAAGAGCTTCCATGCTGGACCACACTGGCAATGATACCTAACCGGCGTACTTGATGTCACCTTTAGCTGGTATTGTTTCCTTCATTTTTGCACTAGCATTGCAACAGATAATAAATGTACTAAGTGGGGGGAGAAAGAACACACAAACAAGCTAAAACCAAGAAGAAATATAAAAGCTTTGTTTGTTGCTGTCCTGGTTTGAGGTAAAACAGAACCAACCTTCTGTTCAGTAATTTTACTTCTTAGCTAGGCCTCTTCTAAGTCTCTGAAATTAACAGCATATTGTGCAGAAAAATATTCATTCTGAGTGATAAGACCAATGTTTATAGTTCATGCCAAGGAACAGTATGCTTAGAAGCTCTTGTTTACACTTATTGCTGTAACAACAAAGGTCAGCTACTTTCCTTATTTGCCTCACTGGAGGGTTGGAAACAGACAACTATAGATGGGTCCCACCTGCAAGGAGGAGTGAACAAGACAGGCGACCCAAAACTGGGATATTCCATCCCATCTGCCCCATGTTTAGTATAAAAGCTGAGGCATCAAAGGGTCAGCGCTTTTTCTTCAAGGGCTGATGTCCGAAGAGGACCCTGTTTGTTTGCCTTTGATCCCAATCCATGTGTTCCCGACTCCAGAGCTGGAATCCAATTCCTATCCATCACTAAGTCCATTCTGGGATTTCCCCAGTGCCTGTTGGTGATGTCACCCTGGGAGCTTGATACGGGTTTGTATATATTGTGTCTATTTCATGATTTTATTTTGTTATTAATATTTTATTAAAGTTGTATAGTTCCTGCTAAACTCCTAAAAATCTTTCTCTCTCCTGTTCTTCTCCTTGAAGTGAGAGGTTGGGGGGAGAGCATGTCAGCAGTAATTGGCCAATTCAGCCTAAACCACAACAATTGCTAGCCTTTGAAATTAAATTTAAAATTTATTCAGTAGATGTTCATTTTTCAAACTGGGCTGGTGACCTAGGGATTTTTTTCCAGAGTTCTCAGGTTATATCAAGTTTTCATTTAAGAAGATAAACAGTGTCATCAACAAAAACTGCAGCATCTAAAATGAGATACAATGGAAGTCTACCATACTTTTTGTGATGCTGTATCTTTATTTGAAGTCATTTAGAGCTCTCTTTTTAGTGAAATAATTTTTTGGTTAATTTTTTGTGTCTACTTGAGACAACTCATTAAATGGCATCATTGTTTCAGTCATGTTTCTTTGAAGAAGGAAGAAACTAAAATATTTTATTCTATAAGTGTTCAGAGCAAGTGATTTTAGTAGTTCAGGGTTGTGGTTTATTTTTTTTTATTTATGTAAACACAGGGAATATAAAAGGAATTTATTCAGCAATTTCTAATTTTTTCTCAATTACCTTTCTCTGGAGCTTTTCTCCAGTTACTGATCCTTCCAGGAATAGTTTCTCTCTTTTTGCTCAATTTCTGTGACAAAATGCTATAGTTTTCTTCTTTTCCTTGGACTCTTTCTCGGCCTTCTGAATTGTTTAAATTGCCAGAAAACCTTTCTTGGCAGCAGTCACTAACAGCAGTTAAAATTTTATAACCTTTACAAATTGTACCATGAAGGTAACAATTGAGAAAAGTGTTTTTAAATCCATCCTGTAAACTACATAGTGTTAATATCCCTCCAGAAGGAAACAACGGGATTCCTTGTTTATTATAATTACAATCCATTAGAAAATTTGGATTTTTCAAATCCATTTGTATGTTGCTATTTTGAGGTATAAGAGAATTATTTCCAAAATATTTTTTATTTATTAATTTTGCTAACTGAATTCACTTTTTTTTTTTTTTTTTTTTAATATCAGAATAAGAACTGTGGTCAACCGCTAATGTCTGATTAATTACTTTGGGGTTATTTGTTTTTTCTCCAGAGTAAATTAACAGTTTGACTGATAAATGACCCAAACTATTTTAAAATTAAAATCTTCTCCTATACAAGTATATAAAAATATTTTGACAATTACTTTTGTGTTGCAGTAGAATTGTAGAATCATAGAATCATCTAGGTTGGAAGGGACCTTTAAGATCTCCTAGTCCAACCATCAACATAACTGATAAAAAGAACAAAAGGAAACCATAAAAAAAAATAACCCACATTACTAAACTATGTCTCTAACCACTACATCAACCTGTCTTTTGAAAACCTCCAGGGATGGTGCCTCAACCCCTTCCCTGGGCAGCCTATTCGGTGCTTAATAACCCTTTCAGCGTAAAAGTTTTTCCTGATACCCAATCTGAACCTCCCCTGGCACAACTTGAGGCCATTTCCTCTTGTCCTGTCACCTGTGGCTTGGGACAGGAGACCAATCCTCCTTTCAGCACTGTGAGTAATCAGAATAAATTTTCAGTCATGTTAATTTATTTTGTATGTGCTCTTTTTAGAAACACGGGCAAGACAATAATACACACTGGTATTGATAAAGCTTTGTTATTTCTCTTGAAATTAGAATTGGGGGGGGAGGTGGACTTGGATTTTTTTTTTCCTACTCCATTATATACTTCAGTCTTTACTTATACTGACTGCAAGATCTAATGATATGGACAGCTTTCCAAACTTTGGAACTACCATACAGTCTATAGTAAATTTGCACCAGGGCTCTTCAGTAGTACCTGTCCAAGGAGACTGTGCTGTGTTTTATCCCCAAGATTTATCCTGATGTATATTATTTATTTTTTTATTATTATTAATATATTACTTATATATTATTAATAATAATAGTAATAGAAGCTCATCCTCTTAATATGAAACTCAAAAGAAATAAGGAAATTTAATATTGTAATTTAGTTCCATACTGTAGTCTTATTCTTGATTTGGTAAGGTAAAAATACATTTAAAACTTGTAATTGCATTCAGGGTGATAAACTGTCTGTGCTTGTGGAAGAATGTGGGTAGTGTATATGAGGAAGAATATTTCTGGAACATCATCTGTGCCGCCTTCTATCATTGAACATACTGGCCCATGTTCCCCAAAGCTGCTGCCTGATGAACTGCTTTCAGAGTTTTGAAAGATTCTCAAAGAAGCTTTTCAAAGAAGTTGGATTTCAGTTCTTTTTTTCAAACACACAAAAAATCCAACTCAGGTGATTAAATTTGTATGTTTAGACTTCACACATCATGCTGATTTGCTATGCAATGTTACAGTGTTTCCTCAAACAGTTTCCTTTCCAGCTTGCCTTAGAGATGGGTGAAGTACATCTAGTTGTATCACACAAAATGCTGTAGACAGCATGAGATGAAGTACAAGTACGTCCTGTATATTATGCTACGCAGGAATCCAGACAGCGATCTCTTTCCTTTAAGAACTTTGAATCTATCAAGTGGTTTAAACAAGTATGAACTAGTGCTTTTTTGTTGTTCATCCATCATGAGAAACTCTTTCATTTGCAATACACTCACAAAATGTTTTTTTGTCTCCTGTTACTGTCCTAGATTATGACCAACCACTGTCATTTGCAAGGTGATGATTTTTGCATAACAGTAATGTAATAACCATACTTCATCTTTATCTTAGTATTCAAAGGTCTGGTTTCCAACCTTAGAAACAAAACTGAACAGGTTATTACGTTGCCCAATGGCTTTTCATTTTAAGTCTGAAATGCAAGAAAATTTTCACTTCTGATAAGCTAGTGCACATGAATCACTTAAGAAAAGCTTGCAGCGTGGGCATGGTAACACAGAATCATTGATTTTCCCTCTCGTCCAGTGAGCTCCATCCTGCCACAAAACAAAAAAGGTAAAGAGATGAAGTTCATTGCCTTTGTACCAA